GGCAGATATAGAAAATCATTTTTAATGAAAAATCAAAGTTTGAAGAATAAAAAATGCAATACTAAGTATTTCAGTCTTGTTTTTGTTGAAAGCCGATATGAAACTGTTCACATTGTATCCCATCTCTTCGTATAATTTATCCAGTTTCCATGAGCTCTGCCTGACATCCGTGTAGAAGTTGTTCAGGCAAACGGAGCACGTATCGCTGCTGTACTTCTCGGTGCTTTGAGAAAATAGGCCCTGGTATTTTAGTAGCGAGAAGATACAGAATGAAATTAATTTAATGGAGTTGAATTTCCATGCCATCTCAGTTTATTCTTAGGTTATGCGATTTCCAAGCTAGTTAGGATGATGGTGTTTGTGATTATTGTAATGATTATGCTGATTAAGGCAATATTTGCGTTAATTACGACGATGATTACGCTGAAATGTTGATACTTTTGACGATTTTTCACTAAAATTTTCCACAAGTAAATCCTTATTTAGATTTTAGAAATATTCCATCTAATATTTCTTGTGTCTTCTTGTTTAAGTGTTGTTCTGCTGTTTATTTATTCTTTGTTATTATTAATTTATTATTTAATTGCCAACCAGCCAGCAACAACAACAAAACACACAACAACTACAGCAGCAGCAACAACATGAAAACACACAAATAACATACAAACAGCAAAAAACAACACAAATCACATACGAACAACAAACAACGCTCAAACAGTCCAACAAAACACACAAAAACAACAAAACCTTTTCAGATTACGTACGAGGGGACATTGGGCCCACGGGAAGTACCGGAGCTACAGGCTACTTTGGATTTACGGGTGCGACTGGTGCAATGGGAGCTACAGGTCCACAGGGTCTACCCGGACCTAGAGGGCAAACAGGTTTTCCCGGACCGACAGGACAACCAGGTTTTTCCGGATCGACAGGGCAACCAGGTCCACCGGGTCCACAGGGTCCACAGGGTCTACCCGGACCTAGAGGGCAAACAGGTCCACCCGGACGAATTGGTTTTCCAGGACGTAGTAAATGATTTTTTGACAAATGATTGGTCAAGCAATTTGAAACTGAATTTAAATAATTGAGTTGGTGATCGCAAACTTTTTGTTTTTACATGATGTTTATTTTTCGTAGGATTTTTAGCACTGGCTTCATGTGCCAGATGGTTTTTATTATGCCTCATATCGAGTTATAATTTTTGGTTTATGCCTTATTTAAATGATAAATACTTTTTTTCTGAATACGATTTTTGAAATATGAATTTTTTAAGATCTAGAAAAAAAATTTTTAAACTCTTCATATTGTCATGTATTTGGGAATAATTTGCAGTGAACAACAATTTTTTACAACTCAACGAAACAAAAATTTGTTTATATGAGCAACGTCAGTAACACAAATGCAGCCTTCAAAGACGAAACACGTCATAATGAATTTGTTTCCACGCTCAAATATTTTCCAACATCTTCTCCATTATTTCTTCTTTGAGTTATAGAAATTTTTTAGAGAAGGAGGACCTTGAGCTCCTGTTGCTCCGGTGGCTCCTGTATCGCCTTGTGGACCAGTTGCCCCAGTATTTCCTGTGATTCCTCTCGACCCCTGTGAACCATTCACTCCTGTTGATCCTGTGTTCCCTGTTGCTCCCATATATCCATATGGGCCAGTCACACCAGTTTGGCCAGTAAATCCAATTCCTCCGGTTGCACCCTGAGATCCTGGAGGTCCCGGTTTTCCCGGTTGTCCCATGAGCCCCGGTAATCCTCTAACCGTGTAATCTGCTGTAATTTAAAAATGTACATAGTGTATAACATGTTGTTTTGCTGAAATGTTGATTGAGTTAAAATTTCAAAAGATTGATATGTTATTAACACTAAGTAATTGTAATTTTCAACTGAATTGAAAAATTTAACAGCAGCACGAACCAAGATTGGCCATTCTCAGTTGGAAGTCATTCATAATGCGTGAGTATTTCTCAATCAGGGCCATTTGTTTCTGCTTCAAGAGGCTCATGCGCTCGTTGTAGATCGCTCCAAAGTTCTCGTTCTTTTTCATTTTTGTGCTGATATCCTTCAAACTCATCGCGAAAGAATCCTTCAGTTCGCAGTTGAATAGTGGGTTGCCGATCTGGACTACGCTGTTGTCTGTGAGGTGGTTGGTCGTGTGGTATCTTTCGAAGTGCCAGGAAGATTATTTCAATGATATTTCACAATTGAGTTGTTTAAATATAAATTGTTTTTCAAGTATGATCTAGTTAATATATTGATTAAATCAAATTTTTCCAACCACTTTTTTACCTATAACAACATATCAACATGGTATCTAAAGTGTAATAAAAAAAAAACAAATTCATTACCGTGGAAAAAATTTTGTTTTGGTGAAACGGCGGGTGGTCTACCAAGTACAGGCATGCCCGGAGCCCCTGTAGCTCCCATTTGGCCTGGTAGTCCCACAAATCCTGTGTCTCCAACGCTGCCAGTAGATCCAGGCAAACCAGTGTCACCTTGGTTCATCAAGGTTCAGTAAATATTATTCTACTGATACGATAAAACAATTTGATGTAATTTAAAAATAAATTTCTTGAGTTAGAAAATTCTAACCACTCAATATTATCTGCAGCCGAAAAATTCCCAACAGAAAACAAAATCAAATGAACTCCGTTTTTAAATATTTGAAATTGTTCACAAAATTCAAGATAACCTGTATTTCCCGGTAATCCAGTATATCCCGGTACTCCAGTATATCCCGGTAATCCAGTATATCCCTGAGATCCCGTAACACCTGTCAATCCAGGTGATCCTGTCATACCTGGTTGACCAGTTCTTCCTGTCCATCCCGTATTTCCAGTTGATCCCGTATCTCCAGGAACTCCTGTTCTTCCCATAAATCCTGTGTCTCCAACGCTGCCAGTAGATCCAGGCAAACCAGTGTCACCTTGGTTCATCAAGGTTCAGTAAATATTATTCTACTGATACGATAAAACAATTTGATGTAATTTAAAAATAAATTTCTTGAGTTAGAAAATTCTAATCACTCAATATTGTCAGAATTATGAAATAATACTGACTAAAAATACTGCAAAATTTTCAACGCGAAATTTATTCACTCGATAGGGGGCATGGTGCAAGTTAATTTACTCGATAGGTGACGACGATTTTTTTTGTTTTGCAATTTAGATGACGTCATAAATTATTACAAATTATTTTAAAATTTAATTAGTAGTTTTTTTTTATTAATTGGACATACCTTGGAAATTTTTATTTTTTTAAAACACCCGAAACAAAATCTAATTTTGCTTTGATAAGGAAGGGTGTGAAAAAAGGACTGGGTTGACTAGTGAGGCAGCTTCGATTAATCAGTGCCTCTTCTGGTCCCTAAGGGACTTAACGCGTGATTCTATGCTCATTAGCATAGTTTCAGAAACGTCTTAAGTTCTCAAAGATTCAGCCTTGGGTTCACCAGTTAGGCAGCTTCGAGTAATCAGTGCCTATTCTGGTATCTAAGAGACTTAACGCGTGATTCTGGTCGAACTCACGATAAAAATATACACAAAAATTATTGTCGGACCATACAAAAATTCCCTGAGAAAGATAGAGGAGGAGATTACCTCACACCACCAGCTGTTTTAATTGTTTTCATTTATAAATTTTCCGACAATTGGCGCCCAACGTGGGGCTTAGTCATAATTTGAAAACCTCCTCCTCATTCATATTATTATTTTAAAATTTCCGACAATATTATCTGCAGCCGAAAAATTCCCAACAGAAAACAAAATCAGACGAACTCCGTTTTTAAATATTTGATATTGTTCACAAAATTCAAGATAACCTGTATTTCCCGGTAATCCAGTATATCCCATTAATCCAGGATCTCCCGGAAATCCCGGAAAACCTGTCAATCCAGGTGATCCTGTCATACCTGGTTGACCAGTTTTTCCTGTCCATCCCGTATTTCCAGTTGATCCCGTATCTCCAGGAACTCCTGTTCTTCCCATATATCCTGGCGCCTTTATTTCCATTTTCGCCTCCGTGAAAATTTCTTAGAAATAATTGTAGACGTAATAACTACATTGAAATTATTATTTTTATCTATAATAAATAATAACATGGGTCCGACTGGCATATTTTTAAAAGTAATTATTGCATGGCCGTGTAAAGGCTGCTTGGGTGAAAATGGTTGAACTTTAAAGATCAAAAGTATTACACTCTTCCTAAACGCACTCACACACACACACACACGCACACACACGCACGCACACACACGCACGCACACACACACACATTATTATTATTATTATAAACAGCGATTAATCAAAACGACAGAGACTTTGGATGTTGGATGTTTTAATTGGTTAAAATTTTCAATACTTACATACATAATAACAAATGATCAGCCCGTCAACGTCATCGATAAGCAATTGTCTTTCAAGTAAATAGATTATATTAGAATAAATAATTCACCAACCATAATTTAAATGGGGACAATCACCCACCCCCAGCTGGTTATACCGGGCAGATATAGAAAATCATTTTTAATGAAAAATCAAAGTTTGAAGAATAAAAAATGCAATACTAAGTATTTCAGTCTTGTTTTTGTTGAAAGCCGATATGAAACTGTTCACATTGTATCTCATCTCTTCGTATAATTTATCCAGTTTCCATGAGCTCTGCCTGACATCCGTGTAGAAGTTGTTCAGGCAAACGGAGCACGTATCGCTGCTGTACTTCTCGGTGCTTTGAGAAAATAGGCCCTGGTATTTTAGTAACGAGAAGATACAGAATGAAATTAATTTAATGGAGTTGAATTTGCATGCCATTCCAGTTTATTCTTAGGTTATGCGATTTTCAAGCTAGTTAGGATGATGGTGTTTGTGATTATTGTAATGATTATGCTGATTAAGGCAATATTTGCGTTAATTACGACGATGATTACGCTGAAATGTTGATATTTTTGACGATTTTTACTAAAATTTTCCACAAGTAAATCCTAATTTAGATTTTAGAAATATTCCATCTAATACTTCTTGTGTCAAATACAAGCTATTTATTACACACTAAACTAAACTATGTCGTAATCGAATTTCTTACTATTTACATAAACAATCGCAAGCTGTATCTTTATATGAGGTTCTTGCGTTTGCGTGTATGCTATCGTGTGGTGTGTGTGTGTTGGTGTGTGTGTGTGTTGAACGTTGTGTGGAGTAGATGCATGTAAATGTTTACGTACGCCGAGTGGTTGAGTTGTACAGCCTTTGGAGCTGAAAGTTGTAACTGCAACCGTGTATCAATCAATGAATCTCAATCAATCAACCGATCAACCAACCAACCAGCCAGCCAACCAACCAATCAATCAATCAGTTTGTAAAACTCTATTTCCGCGATTTTCAAGAGCACTTTTCAGTGAATTTTGCAAACAGATGGGTCTTGAGATCCGCTCTGAGCTTCGTAAGTGATGGAGAAGTAGTCAGAGAGGGAAGTAGAGAGTTTCAAAGAAAAGGGCCAGAAAAAGCAAATGCAGATTCAGCAAAAGAGTTTTTAACACGAGTGAAAAGGTGAGAACAAGATGGCGAACGTAAACCGGGGCGTTTAAGTTCAATTAGTACATCTGATAAGGACGTAGGAAATAATTTAGAATGTGATTTATACCTTAGTATGCAAATTTAAAAATTATTCTATATTTTATAGGCAGCCAGTGCAAGAGAAGAAGAT